CGTAGTTGTTTAAAAATCATTCACAAAATACAGCCCGTCGCGGAAAATCAACTTCATGAAGTTCTTGCTGACAAGTTAAACGATAGGAGAACAAACGCAAATCTTTTTTTAACACTGTGTGGCAGGTACCGACTGATACTCCCACCATTTGTGATAAAACACGTACAGAAGTTCTTGGCGCATTTTCCATTATTTGTTGGACATTTTCTTTTAATTCTTCAGTCCGCTTTTTAGGTCGGCCGCTTCCTTCTTTTCTTGTTACACTGCCCGTTTCACGAAAAACATTAACACAACGCTGAACTGCACTTTGAAAAATTTTGTACTCAACAACGCCGGGAAATTGATTTTGAAATTCTATGAACATTCCTCAATAGAATACTTCCATATTCCATCAATCTTGCGTCCATTTCCAAAGTAGGACTCTATGATAAACACTTTTTGTTCTTGAGAAAACACCATTTTAAACGCTTTTTAAAACGAAAATGTTCAAATTGATAGCGGCGATATAGCGCTTTGACAGATGACGTTTAAGTTCATTTGCTATACGCTACGCCCTACGTCCAAATTTTCAGAACCAACTTGACCACGTTTTTATTTGAACGCTCGTTATTTAATTGATAACCACATTACCATTACTGTGGTTATCAGAAGAAAACAGAATTACATGTGAAACAAGAATTAATCAAATTGGAGAAGAAACAAGACAATTAGAAGAAACGGTGATACAAGAAAAACTACAAACACAATTGAGATGGCAGGTACAGGATGAAACATGGCAGACTCGTTTAAAAGAACAGGAAAGGAAGATTGAACAAAGGATTAGGATGGAAACACAGGGCATGATTTGCAACACAAGACACGACATTAACACAAATTTCACACAAGACTTACAATTTTATTAATTAATTAAAGACATACGTACAGACATTACCTTCTTCTATAAATATAAAAAACTTCATCAGCAATATGATGAAAGGTGACGCAGACATTTGGTATCAGCTAATTGAAGACAAATATGAAACATATGAGGTGTTTGAAAGCTTGTTTTTGCAAAAAATACTGGGGGGAATTCCACCATGGTAATCTGGTGGTAATCTGATTAAGTGATAACCACATTACTGAAATATATCATGATATCCTGGAAGTAAGAGTAGGGAGGAGATGGTTTAGCTGGTAAGAATATGGCATTATATGGTTGCGAATAAATCGAAGCGTCAAATGACCATGACGGATTTCGTTTCCCAAAAAAATATTGAGTTAGCTTAGGTTAGGTAATACTAAGTTACAGTTATGTTAGATTTCTAACAAAATATATATCTAACATAACAACTTCATATTCGAGTTCAGAAGGTGAAAGTTAGTGTGAACAAAAATTTGTCAAAAACTAAAGCTGTGCCATTCTTCTATATAATTACTAAATTTAATTAGTTTAATGCTTTAATTAAGAAATTAATAAAATGTACACTCTCATTTTCATGTTAAGAAACGAAAACTAACATTTTCGTTTTAGAGAGGAAAAATGTCACTTTCGTATCAACCAAATCATGTTTTTTTTATTTCCGCATATATGAGTAGAAACAAATATTTTTTCTACTGCCTTAATAGAAATTAAGATTTTTTCTACTTTATTTGGAGGTAGAAAATGTCTATGTTACTCTTTCGGAACGAAAAGACTATGTAACGGTTTTTAATTTCTTGCATTTTGTTCCTCTTCTTATTCCTCCAATAGCTACACATACTTGGACGTAAGTTTACTTTTGAATTTACTGCGCATTGTAATTATTTCCCAGAAGATGAAATCCATGTTGGACACGCATATTAGACAAGTGAACGAACTGATTCTTTTAAACTGTACCATAAATATAATTTTTACATTACATTCTCAGATACTAATCATAAACTAATGACGGTAAATATTTCTTTTTAATTATTTTTCGTTAACTTTATCAAAATCATAGGTTATTATTCAAAATTCTCATAAAAATTGTAACTCTAAAAATTCGGCTGATTTCTTCATATATTAGACAAACATAATATTTTCACTGCTTACTTTGAGTTGAAAAGGTACGTGTAGTTTTACTTACCAGCTATTTTAAGTTAGCTCACTTACGTCCAGTATGACTACCTTGGGAACCTGTTGGTTTAGTAAATAGTAGCTAAGTTATTTGTAATTCCATTGAATGCAAGTAAACAATCTAGTACACAATCGACAGTGTTGTTCTAAAAGAGACTATGTATTTATAATACAGAAACTTTGTGTCAAGAGTACTAGAATTTGAACCAGGTATTACAGATACTATTCAGTTTGAACCAATTTTGAAGCATATATCATAAGACATGGGGAATTCATATTAATTTAATACATATATTCAATCTTGTAGGTATATATTCTTCTTTGCAGTTAGTACTTACAAAGTCCTATTGATATTAATTTGATATTTATTGCAAATAAGTAGTACATACCGACTTCTGTTAGGTATAAAATGAGCTAATAATGAATATTTTTTTTGGATTGATTCCAACTCATTTTAAATTAAAAGACAGTTATAATAAATGATTTTTAGTAATAGTGATGCACCATGGAGTACTGACAAAAAATTGGTGAATGTGGCGATTTTTCAAAACATTAACGATGAAATAAAATTCCTTGTTGGCTGCATAATTTGCGGGGTGCTTGTCACGGTGTCGGTTTAGGATTCTTGACGTTTCGACAGATATATCGCTCTCTTCTTCAAAAGAAACTCTGAGTTCAAAAAGCTAAAGCCTAAGCAGATGACGTAGCAACCAGCACGAAACTGTTCAGCCATTCAGTTGCCACGAAAGTCTGCAAATCAAGTTTGTGTCTCAAAGAGAACAATTTTTTACAATTAGAGACAATGTTCCATATACATATAGAATCATAGTTCATTATACTATGTTTTTTCTAAAACTTTATTTTTGTTGTGCACAATGGTCAATCGTATGTGAGAATAATAAATTATTTTATAGTTTATTTTGAATTGATTTTTCGAATAGTTGCTGTACCATGTTCTACGATTCTATGAGTTTGAGTTTACTTAGTTGTGCAGCATTTTTATGCAGAATATTATTATTTATGCGAAACATGTTTCATATATCTAGCAATTTTGTTGATTTATTGATAAGATTCAAATCAAAACCCACAGTCAGGTATTTGTTTGGTAAATAACAGATAATATACCAACAAGAGAAAAAGGCAATATAGAAATTCTTGTTAGTTTGATAACGAAAATGGGATTCATATCTAGAAGGAAGGTCACGTTGATTAGAATGCAGTTAGTCATTTATGTTTATTTTTGAAATTATTTACCTATTAAGAGAACTTATTTATATACAGGGTGTTCATTAAGTACTTGTTTTAAGGGTGAATCTTTGAATAATTTTAAAATAAAAAGTTCATGGGTTCGCAACGGCTTGGTTCTTGAGATACAGAGCATCCAAAAAAATATTTTTGTTTGATATTTTGATTATATTTTCGTTTAATAACATAACATGGTAATTTGAGGAAATTCGGGAAACTGCATGGGAGTATTGATGATGAGAAACTCAAATATTTACTTAGTTTTTTGTTTAATGTTAGATGGCACCACATACAGTGTTGTACCTGGATTTAAGAAACCATAACTTTTTTGTGTCGCACTTTATAACATTTTTGATTAAACATATCTATTCTCCATTCAATTTTACTTACAAAATGTACTCTTAGTATTTGTTGCTGAAAGCAGACGTTTTGTAAAAAAAAACGGGTTTAAACCTGCGTTGGAATTTTGTAAGTTGAATCATTAAGAGTTTTTAAGAGTTTGTGAAAAAACAAGGGAAAAATGTGTCTTTTATTGATTGTATTGCGATGTGACAAACTTAGATCATTTAAAAGACTAAGACTAAACTACTTCTACAAATAGTTAATAACATTTACAATAATCGCTGAAACAAAAATTTGTTTTCTCTATATGATTTACCTTTTAAAGTTTGTACATACAAGTACTTAATATTACCCGTATATTAGTCGATTAGGTATCGAACTATTTTTGTATAGTCCTGTAGAAGTGGAAATTTAAATAGATTGTGGATCTAGGTATAATTATTTGCAGTTTAGATAGGTATCATTTTCATGAGTTTCAAGTTAATTTTTAAAGATTTGAATAATGAAAAGTAAAATTAAATATTCTTTAGTTGAGAACTTACTATTATATCAGTAAAAATGTAAAGAATGTACGTATATGCGGAGTCATATCAACTACTTTTTTATTTATAGATCGAATAAGATTAATTCATTTATATGGTGTATATGAAAGAAACTAGTAGAGAAAAATTTATTATTAATTAGGTAAAATCGAGATAAAACAAAAATAAAATTCAAAAAATAGTAGTTTTGATGTATTTGAGCTGTGATTTCCATTTTTGGATAAAACATATAAATTGTATTATTGTATTTGTCTAGAATAAATCTAAAGCCTAAAACTATTGGAAAATTATGATCGTAACATCTTTAATTTCTTTTACAAACAAAAGGTAGGTAGGTACCTATGTCATCTCATATTCTTCTAATAAAAAAATGTTTGCTAATATTATTTTAAAATTATAAGGTTAAAAAATGTATAATATAGAATACGTGTTAATATAATATATATAGTCGACTTGGTAAATGACTAACAATTGACGTATTTTTGTATATAACTAGAGCCGAAATAAAATGGATAGGTAGGTAATTATCATGTACCCAATAATTTCGAAATTGGAAATAATAGATTAGAGCCCTACGCAGTTTATAGTATCAATATATTATATTCTAGATATTGGTACGAGAAAATTACACAAACTTAAATAAACTCTTTTATTGTTACATTTGAATAAAGTTATTTGCAACAATTTACTTTACACTCGACAATGCACATAATGAGCATATTTGTCAATAATTAATAGTGGAGAAACAACTTAAAAGAATGAAATACGTAGTACCTATAATTTGTAAAGAAACTCACCCAAATATAACTTAATCCAGTCACTCCATGCCGAGTTTATTGAAATAGTAATGTTCACACAATTTATGATGCAAAATCACCTTTTTAACCAAGCACAGTGATGAAACTAAAGATCTGAACTATATTTTAATTCTACCAAGCAATACTAATATGCTTTTTCGATAATATTTAGCCGGAAACACACCTGAGAGCACATTCAACTAAAGCCGCAGAAGTGTTAGAACTATTTTAATCAAGTTGCTTGTATGAAACAGTACGCTATCGCTAGGTAACTCGATTCGCGATTCATGAACATAAAACCAGCAAAAGGCAATGCCATCAAGTCATCCTCCGTGCATGTGGATTATTTTCCCCTTCTTCAGCAGTTTCACCGGTGTAGAGAGTGTAGAAGTGCCCAGATTACCTGTTCGCTCGGCTCACCTGTTTCTTATTTAGTGGCATGCGCAGATACACTGGAATATTGTGGTACCGAGAGACTTTGATGGCTTCTCTGGTACGAACTGAAACTAAATTGTATATACCTACCTATCTTAAGGTTCTTATTTTAACAAAACATTTTGAAAAATAATAATAATCCGTTTTGCATTGAAATGATTGATGGTGATATTAAAATTTACTCTCACAAGTAGGTATCATCAAATTATTTTGATCAATGTGGTTTAGTCAAATTAATGAAATAGTAAATACAGATTAATGCAAGAATGGCGGAAAAGCTATCAGTTAATTTTTCGAATATTTTGTTTTCTACCCATCTTTCATTTAATAAATATTGATTCAAAAATGGTAAAAAGTGAAAAAAAAATATAGTAGGATGAAACCCACTGGAAAAGGAAGAGAATATAACAGAAATGAAAAGAAAAATAATTTACGGGCGATCTGAGGTCGGGAAGGGGAAGCGGGTGAGTTTTTAAGGGTAAAAAACGGTTTATCTTGATTTCCGGAAAAACTACAAGTCTTATGGAAAAAAGTTAAATGGCAAAGTTGTAGGTAATAAAAAGATCTACAACTTTTGTATTTACACTTTTTTCACATAACCTCAAAATTTACGTGAAAAATTCAAATAACCAAGTTTTTGGTTTTTTATTTTTATCTTTTACAAACAATTTTTTTTCACGAAATTTGGTGAAAACTTATGTCCCAAATACGCTGTAATTTTTTTGATTTGAAATATTTATTTTTTCACCTTATTTTTACTTAATATCGAAAAAGCACCCTAATTTTCAATCGAAAATTTTCACGTCAAAATATCTGCTTTTTTAAAAAGTCGGTGGGCTTTTTCTTCGTTGAAATCTCTACTTTCTGATGGTGTAAAAAAATATATACATTACTATGGTAAGTTTTCTCAGGAAATGCAAAGAAACGAACTAGAATCCGAAAATTTTTTTCTAATCATTATATACAATTTTGAGCTATTTATTAAAATGTACACTTTAATTACTCGAAAAACGTAAGATTCCATGTTACACTGATAAACAAAAAAATTACAAGTCGAAATATACTATTATAATTAACAACCAAATAAGTTAATAAAGTTAATATTTAATAAGACATCTACAATATTTTGAGAAAGTTGTAGAATCTTCTTTCGATTATTTGCATTTCCTGAGAAAACTTACCATAGTAATGTATATTTTTTACACCATCAGAAAGTAGAGATTTCAACGAAGAAAAAGCCCACCGACGTTTTTAAAAAAGCAGATATTTTGACGTGAGAATTTTCGATTGAAAATTCGGGTGCTTTTTCGATATTAAGTAAAAATAAGATGAAAAAATAAATATTTCAAATCAAAAAAATTACAGCGTGTTTGTGTAGTTTTTCTGGAAATCAAGGGAAACCGTTTTTTACCCTTAAAAACTCACCCCTACCCCTTCCCGACCTCAGATCGCTCGTAAATTATTTTTCCTTTCATTTCTGTTATATTCTCTTTCTTTTCCAATGGGTTTCATCCTACTATAATTTTTTTCAAAAATTATCGACCCTGGTCTAAATGTGAATTTGGCTAATTTAGTGATTTTGTCAAAATGTTTTGATTAAACGAATTTGAGGAAAATTTGGTCTGGCAAGAGTCTTAGGGGCCAAAAAGCATACATTTGTATAAGTATCTACTTATTTATTGTTTATTAATTAATATAGGTTTTTATATTTAGGTATGTTCTACTAAGTATTAATATATGTATAAGGCGTTAAAGTTTATATTCCAAAATGTAGGTACCTACAATGTGAATAAGAAAACCATTGGCATATCAATTTTAACTTTTTTTCTGTCTCCTAGAAAAATTAAAATTATGATTTCTTAGACTTCATAATTACATTATATGGTATAAAATTTAATTTCTAATAAATAAGTACACTATACATACTTTTTTGTGAAATGAATAGGTTTTGCAATCGATTTATTCGAAGGCTTATTTTAAATTTAAAAAAGTAATAACTGGAATATAGCTCGTTTTTTAATACAATGGAAGATATCATTTTCCTTAGAAACATCAACAAAAGGTAAATGCGCTTTTCGAAAATATTAAGTGGTGTTATGCGTATGTGTTTTTTTTATTTCAACTTACCTACCGACTTATATAAACTTTGTTTCTTATTTTGAGTTATTCTACCACAAGTAAAATTTGGCGTATGCAATTCGGAACATCACATAGATAATAACTTCAACCGTTTTGTTAAGCCTTGTCCCAACAAGAATCCACCAGTTTAATATTTTATTATTAATATAATACGAGATTTGTTCAGAAAATAACCGACCTTTATTTTTTAAACTTCATTATCAATGTTATACATTGTTGGTCCTTCTCTCCTTCAAAGTCCTCCCGTATTCCCAGTGGTGTTTCCATTCCGCAAAGCAGTCCTGGATAGCTTCATTCTAAATGGCCTTTAAAGTCTGTGACGAATTTGCTTTGATGCCATCAGTAGTCTGCAAACGGCGTTCGGCAATAAGAAAAAATCACAAGGAGCCAGGTCTGGCGAGTAAGGAGGGTGAGGAAGGACAGTAATCTGTAGTAATCTGACGATGGTAAATTTGTAGCACAAAACTGACGAATTTACAAAGCTGAGTGTGCGGGCTCATTGTCATGCTGCAAGAACCATAAGTTGTGACGCCACAACTCTGGTCTCTTTTTGCGGACTTTTTCACATAACCGTTGTAAAACGCCTTGATAGTACACACGGTTCATTGTTTCACTTTTCCAAGAATTCAGAATACACAATGCCATTAAAGTCGAAAAAAAAACAGTGAGCATCACTATGACATTGTATCGAGACTGACATACTTTCTTGGGGCGTGGAGATCATTTGCCAATCCATTGCGTTCGTCTCCCGTTATGATCCTTTGAATGAATGTTTCATCGTCATTGGATTGTTCAAGGAGTTGTCGGCAAAAGTCCATACCATTTTATTTCTATTGCTCGGTCATCAAACGAGGAACAAATTTTACTGCAACTCGATGCGTGTTCGATTTTTCAGTCAAAATTTCATGGTATGACTCAATTGAAATGCTAACCTCTTCTGCGATTTCTCTGACAGCCAATCGGCGATTTGTTACGCACCAGATCTTTGACTTTCTGAAAGTAGGAGTAATCGGTTGAAGTCGAAGGCCTTCCTGGTCGAAGATTATCTTCAATTGACTGACGACCACTTTTAAATCGTGAAAACCATTCGTAACATTGCATCATCTCTGTAAACTTGTTTCAAAAGCTGAAACGTTTCAGTGAAAGGTTTCCCCAGTTTCACGCAAAATTTTACGTTGTATCGTTGTTTTAGAAAATTGCACATTCCAAAAATCGTCACTAACACTTAAACACGTTACACTCAAATAACAACATTACGGAAACTAACTGATATATCGATAATAATCCAAGAACATGTGGTTACAGAGCAATCAGAGCATCCGAATATCACTAAATATCTCTATTAGACCGTACCTACCTAATTCAAAAAGTTCAGTTATTTTCTGAACAAACCTCGTACATACAGTGAGAGTGAAAAATTGTTCACTACTTACTAACATGGACATTACCAGCTAGTAGCTACTTCCTTCAGGAGGATAAACACATAATAACTTGCTGCTAAGCCTGATGAATGAGTAGAACCTGGTAGCCATACGACGCGACGTTTAGTAATCATTTGTGTTGCATTCACAAAAAATGTGTCTACCAAAAGCAGAACTAAGCAAGACCGTAGAGTTTCACATGACTACAAATTTCAGGTTATTTTCAAGTATCACAATCACAATACGATTCGATATTAATAATATTGCAAGAATTTATGTTTAGTTTCAAAAGACCGTATGAGAATAACATATCAGAGCTTTTTGCCTGTTATTATTGCATACACAATTCAATTTTACTCTTGTAACAATTCCCAACGAAATTATTAATACCCTTTACAAGCAGGCCAGTTGAAAAGGCAATTCTCAAATGGCAGACATGGTTAAGATCCATCTCTCCTGACTGCATTTACGTGTTGGTTTATGTTAATGTTATAATAACAGGAATTAAAGATATTTCTTTAAAATATTACATTGTTTAATGATTTCAATAGGTATACTAGGTATGGGTTTTACAATAAAGTAATATAAATATCATTTTTAATTTTTATATTACATAATTATTATTAATTAGCTAAATATTACCGGTATAATTTAATGCTGGTCGGGCTATAGAAGATCACAGAGTAGTTGTTTGTAGCAAAATTATCTATGCAAAGAGATATCTTTTGGTACATCTAGATATTTTTGTATTAGAGAACATTCACTTCATTCGATAGGATTTTAGATTTTTTTTTAAATTTATTTCAATGACCATAATGTCTTTAAAATAAAGTAAAATCAAATTCGTAAACTTAGTATTGCGATTACTGATTAGCCACTAGTCTGGTTTGATGTTGGTCAAAAAAATTGCAGTTTTTAAGAGTCAACAGAAACCATTTTGCTAATAAGACTGGATTTTAATAAAATTAAAAATAATCACATTTTCCCAATGAGATGTTGTTTGTTGAACTGTTGACTCTTTCTGAATTCTTGTATCTACATTTACCATTTGCTTAGATATTTGAAAATAAAAAAGAAAGATGGGAATATTAATAACAATTGTGGTGTTTAGCCTAAGTCTTTCGTTTAATTTTCTGATATATTCTGCCAAATTAATGTTAAAAATCATATAATAAACTCCAATTAAATGCTTGTAGGTAGTTGAATTTGACTACTGATATTTAATTATTTAATTTTGGTTTGATATATTTCAGTTATAATTATGATTTATATATATTTTGGCCTATAAATTTCCTATGA